AAGTGATGCTGTATCTTGGTTTTACTGGAATATTTTGAAAGTGCATTTGTTCTACCTTCAGTTTGTCGCTGTCTAAGTGCAGCAGCTGCTGGCCATCGATTCCCTTTGCGGTGAATTCAGATGTGTACTGATCCATGTTCATGCCCATTAGCCAGTGACAGACCTGCTGATTGGTCCAGTCGGAGATGGGCCGATTCTGCCACTGATACTCTTTCCCAACTGGGACTGGTTCATCATCCAACGTCTGTAAAGAAAACAGATATTATAGATGGAAGTAAAAATATAAATACTGCTGCTTTTAATCCATTGTTTATTTGCTTTCAGGCAAAATGTTTTCATTAATTTAAATGAATTTGAAAACCAAATCTAAAAGTTGGGCACCAGGAGGCTGTCAGCACTATTTTTGTTTCCTCCTACAGATTATACTATTTCCATTGCATACAAATTTTTTGCAAGACATTCATTTCCAGTCAGAAGTTTGCATATACTCATCATAGTCCCTGATTTCTCTGCATTTTTTTCCAGGGTGGGATATTAAGAACATACAACTACAGTTAAGTTTAAAAACATGATCTGGGTGTGCAAGTTTAAACTGTGAATTTTTTCTAATCCAAAAACCAGATTAAAATGATATGAAACAGGCTCCAGTGTAAATTTTGATTCGATGTGCATTTAGGATCATTGTGCTGTTGGAAAAAAAATGACTGTGTTCATGTTTTGCACATAGGAGCACTAAGCATGGTAGACAAAACTGGTTGTTCCAACATGAAAATGAACAAATTGAAATGACTTCAATTTCTTTTGGTGAGGTTACATTTTCAGTCAAACTTAAACCAGTTTATTGATGGTTAAATTAAAATGTTGTACTTTCTCTGTAACTATGTGTAGACAATTTCAGTCTGTATGCATAATTTTCTCTTCATGTTTATCAGAGTAATTTAAAAATTTCACAGTAAATTCACATCATCCCAAATTCCTGTTTTTAAAGTTCAAGGACATGCCCTTGAACTTTAAAGAACACTTCCTTGAACTCTAAATGTCATATCAAAAACGGTCCAAATCAACGTATTTTTCAACGTGACTTTGAGTTTATTTAAATTTCTGGCCAAAACTTGGAACTGATTTATAGGAGTGCATCGATTGCAGATTTTTTTGGCCGATCCCCGATTTTTAAAATTGTTTTTAACTGCAAACGTGTAGAAATGACCTGGTGGGCCAGTCTACCAGTCAAATCTATCTCACTGCAGAGGAAAAAAGACTGTGCTTGATTTTTAGACCTTTGCTGTAGTAGATGACATCAGTGCTTAGACATCACCGATTTAAGATTCAAATCGGTGCACCCCTACTGATTTCCCCCCCCCCAACTTGGTTCAGCAGCCACATGATATGGCACTATAACTATTTCTGTGAGAGTGCTGATCAATATTAACAACAGGTCAATGCAAGCAATGTGATAGCTGTTTCAACGGGACTTTAAGTATGTTGAGAAAGGAGAGTAAAATCTTTACCTTTCTACTGAAGGGTCAGAAATGCTGCAAAGCAAATTTTAACTTTCCTAAAATCTCTAAAAACGAGTTAACTACAACATGTAAAATCTGATAAACATTCCCCAAGCTAGTACACAGAAAAACAAGCGTGCATTCCTAGAAAAACACCCCCCAAACTCTGCAGCGTGTACAGACGGTTTCACACTGAGCTGCAGAGACGAACTGTATCAGATTAGAAGGTGAAAGAAACATCACTAAGCAAACAGGAAAAAACAGGACACAGCCACGATAAAGCATAAGTATGCACCATCCAAATCATAGCCAACTTAAGAAAAAGCTAAGCCACGTGACTTGCGGCAACACAAAACAAACCGGCTTTAACACACAGACATGCAGCGCTCATATTGTCTCTGTCCATTCACGGTTTAATCTGTGCTATGAAAGGGGGCGAGGCTCAAAGGGCATGCTTGAGAATGTCCCCTTTCAGTTGCATCAGGGCGTCCCCACACAGCTTTTGTGACCACAACAACAAGGAGAGCACTCACCTCGCTGGAAGAGAAGATTAAAGTGTGTGAGCGCCCAGACAGATTGGGTTCAGCGACAAACCCAGAGATGTCTGAACTGGGGCTGGCAGGGCTAGAATCATCTATGACTGAAAAACTCTGGAACAATGGGAAAGAAGGAACGCATTTACTAAAGCAACATCAGCCAAAACACCAGTTTCTGTTCAGGACGACAGCTGAGGGAAGGGATGTTTTCATGGGGATTAAAAGTAATTACAGTGGGAGTAGTTAATACTGATTACACAGCAGAGTCATGACTGTGACCTTAAACATGTGAGGGGAAGAAAGGTCAGATCCTACAAACTACAAACAATCCACCACCCAAACTACATGATGACACGCTAAACTACAAGGAGGCCATTTCTACTGAGAAACTGTCCCCGCCCCCACCAAAAAAACAAAACAAAACACAACAAAAACAAACACTAACTCCAGGTATGAGGTAATGTTTTCTCTGAAGGCATTTCATAAATGTTTATACGTTTGACTTGTTACATGGAGCCTTGCAGAAGTATTCACACCCCTTTAATGTCTCCACATTTTACTCTGTTGCAACCACAATCGTTTATGCATTTCATTAGCATTTTATTTGAGAAGCTAACAGAACAGCCCGTTATTGTAAAATAGCAAAGTAATATATATGGCTCTCAATTTTTTTTTTTTTTTTTTTTTTTTCAAATTTTAACCCAAAATGTGTGGACAGCTTCAAGTCTTTTGGGACCTCTTTCATCTAGAGACTAAATGGTTAGCCTACTATTTGTTATATAGATCAAGTGGAGAGATCTGTTGTAGAGCATAATTATTAAGTCTAAAGATTTAGGATTGAACTTTGACTAGGACATTCTAACGTAGGAACATACTTTGCTCTAAACTATTCTACTGGCACTGTGTTTGGGCTGCTGGTCCTGCTTGAAGGTGAACTTTCACCCAAACACTGCCTTGTATTAATCTCCATCCGTCATCACAAACTCCAACCAGCTGTCCTGCAGCTTGCCCACAGTATATTACTGCCACCACCATGTTTCACTGTGGGTAAAGGCGTGGTCAGTGTGAAGTGTGTTCGATTTTCAGCACAGTGTGTATGTAGCCTCAAAAAAATAGTCCAAGTTTATGACTCCAACATGAAGAAAGAAAAAGATTAAAGGGTGTGAATACTTTTACAAGGAGACTGCTGCTGAGCTTGGAGGAAAGAAAACAACATCCAAACTGGCAGGCTGTTTGATTTAATCAAAGTGACTCATTAAAATAATAAATGCATAAACTCAAATGACACACAGCAAGTTAGGCAGAAGTCAAACGCTTTATATTTATTTACACATAAAACTCTTAAGAGCATTTTCCAATTAGCCATAAAGTCTAGAAAATTACCCATGGGTTGTTTGTTCTCCAACCAGCCTAAATTCTTTCTTAAGGTAAATGTAAAAGGGGAAAAAAACGGGTAAAATTAGAAGTTAAAACTTTACCACATACCCACTACAAAACAAGTAGTGAATTATTCCAGGGATGTAGGACTGGAACGGTTAGTAATACACTACTGACTGTGATCTAGAGTCAAAGGAATAATAAAACGTGTATACTGTACCAAATCTAAAGAGCGACTGAATAAAGAGGACCAGGAGAGGTTTGTCTGTTTAAAGAAACATGGTCAATGGAGACTTGTCAGAAAGCAAAGCAGTAAAGTAAGAAAACAGCCACAAAATCAGTCATTTCTTCGAAAAGTGAAGCCAAAGCTTCAGCTCGTGTCTTGAACTCATTAAAAGGGAATTGTGGGAACAGCAGCCCACTAAAGCCTGGGTGACAGTCAGGCTTTCCACTCGGTAGATTAGCAGCATCACTGCAGATTCAGGCTGTAATATTTCTAATACGAACAGCTGGATGCTGTAACCACTTTCCCCGCAGTAACCAAATAAAACCATCTAAATTACCGAATACACAAAATGTTATGCCTAACTATTGATGAGGAGCTGCAGAGTACCACGTGATGGAAAAACACCACAGGACCCAACCAGAACAGAGTTACCACATTCTCTACAGATCCAAACATTTTGCCTAAGGAAGTCAAGAAGGAAGTTCATCCTGGCTATTTGGAATAGTTTTACACACAATATTTAGACACTGAGTGACAGGACGAGACATTAAAGACAATTTAAATAAAATGTATCTAAATAAATTCACAAAACAGTTGTCTACCTTAGTTTTATGATCCTGGCTTTGCTCACTGCTGGTTTCGTTTGCAGCGTATGGCAGGCTGCTGTTGGACGAGGACGGCTCTCTGTCTCTGTCTTTGTCTCCAAACCAGGAGAAAGGCATACAAGTGGGGACAGAGGTCATGGACTCTGCAGGAGACAGGTTCCCTCCAGATTCCTCTAGTAGCTCTGCAGATCCCCTGGACATCAGATCAGTAGTGAGATGCAGAGTTCTGCTACTCCGACATCAAAAAAGACAAAAGCTACAATATTTCTCTGCTTCAAAGCCTCAGCTATTCAGCTGCTATGGCAACAAGCCTAAAATATATCACCCTCAAGTTTGTACCAAGGTTATCACTGAAAATGTAGAAATTGCAACAGAGTGATACACTTCAAGTGTTTATGTTTGAAACTAATAGCAAAATTAATAAAAGGTTTTGCCTACTGAAAGTGTGCTTTTTTTTTTTGCATGAATCCATCTATCAATGCAGTGAATGCATAAAGATGATCAGACTGTTGTTGAGGCATTAAGGAAGCCCCGTTTTTCAGCCTCTGGGAGAATAACCAGGTAGGAGATGAACTCAGCATCTCCAACAAACTTGGACTTGATAGAACACAGAACCGAGAGCAGGACCAGGACCGGAAACTTCAGAACCTCTCCTGCAAACTCTTGAATGGACTTGGCGTCTGATATTGCATATTGTGCATCTCAAAGACTAGAATGTAGCATTTCTTAAAATACTGTTTTATTACTCTTATCTAATATTTTAATTTGATGAAAAACATTGAAGGTTTTTACTAACTTAGGCCTTCTAAATCAACAGAAATGTGTTTGTGCTTATTCTAAATAATACATTACTTTCACTTTTGGAACAGAATTGCTGAAACAAGTAGAAGTTGACTTTTCATTGACATTTTATCAATTTGAAAGAATTTGGATGCTAGGCGTAAATTAGAAAACATCTTAACATTAAGAAAATATAGAATATTAGCAGAGTAATACCTGCTGTCCAAAGAAGCTCTCAGGGCCTCTTTCTCTTTGTCTTTTTTCCCTTTGCCGCCTGACTTCCGAAGGCCTCTGTTTTGATCATTAGGGATATGTGTTTAATTTTTTTTTAAGAAGGTGAGATCTTGGCTGCAAATGATCAGTGAATAATTCGGATACTTGCCCAAAATCTGGAAATCGCCTTTTAGGTTTTACTGCTGTAGAAGACTCACTCAAATCCTCTGTAACAAAGCAGAGATTAGCGAGAAGAAAAAGCCTTTGCTGTTGCAGACATCAAATCAGGTTCCTGCGTACCTTTGAGTTCTTTCCCTTTGCCTTTGGACTCTCTCTTCTTCACGTTGCGCATGAAACCCGGAGGAGAGTGTGGTGAGGACGTGTGTTTTGGAGAAGACAATGAAGGATTGCTACAGCGTTCAGCACTGTCCCCCAGTGACGGGGACAAAGATGGACTGCTGGACATCTCCAATTTGCTTTTGGAAGTATCTCCGGTCTCGCCCGGATCGTCTTTCTGTCCATTTCCAGGGTGGCAGATGTCGACAGGGAGCGCTGGGCTTTCCTGGGTGGACTGCCGCCTCCCGGCAGATTCCTGCTCCTCCTGCTCGTCCTCTTCTTCAGTTTCCTGCAGGGACCGAGTTAATTATTTACAAGGACAATGCAAGGAAGGGAGAATAAAAGCTATTTATGCAGAAGAAACCTCTGGTTAGCTGTGTTTCAACGTTATGCTATCGTCTTCAAACTGAGTTAGGAAAGGATTCTACTGTCTTTCAGAACACGTCTGTACATTTAGAGAATGATAACAAACTCAAATATCACAACAGTTGATCAAATCTGCAGTCCATCCTGCCAGTTATGACACATAACCCTACCTCCATAGTGAGCATGCTGCACCATACACTAAAGCAGAACAGAGGGGCTTCAGAGTTTCAGACCTGAGAATGATGAGCGGGTTCAGCCAGGCCTTCCTTTAGTTTGCTTCGAGTTGGAGCCTGGCGCCGGCTCATCTGAGCCAACCGGCACTTGGCCTTCTGAGCGCTGGTGTCCAGGCGCGTAGTTTCAGGGACCACTTCGGTCCAGTCTTGATCTTCAACAGAAAAATAAGCGGTGCTTGCTAAAGAAGGGGGTTCACCTTCACAGATTTATGTTTTTTTGGGATTTTAACCATAGCGTGCACTATATACCTAAGAGAGAGTCAATGGATTGTGAGTTGTTGACCGAGTCTTGGCTGCTGAGTCTGTCCTCAGAGTCCAGACCGCTCTGACTCTCCACAGCTGAAGCCCCTCTGGACTCCAGGGCAGCAATCTGTGGACAGAAAACGTCATGGCCATGTTTATTTCAGTGACAGCAGCAGGTTAACAGGTGTAGAAGCTTTCACTGTCTGACCCGAATTCTTACCCTGTTCTGCAGGCTCTCCAGCTGCTCCTTGTACCATTTGTCTTTTTCGTCCAGAGTCTTTTTCAGCTCCTCCTCTTTCTTCACAAAATCTATCTCTCTGTTGGGGATATGAAAAATTTTGCTTTTTTTTTTTTGGTAATGACATAATGCTTTCAGCTGATTGTTACTAAAAACACTTTAAAAAAATCACAATCTTAGCTGAAAAAAGAAATTAAACTCACTTTTGTTGGTAGTCTTTGATCAGTTTCTTGGCCTTGTTGTACTTCTTGTCCAGGGCCTCATACTGAGCCTGATTCTCGGCTAATTGTTCATTCACACTCTTGCACACAGCCTGGGCTTCCAGCCAGTAATTCTCCAGCTTTAGGATTTTGTCGTTGCTCTCCTCAATTTTTTGTTCCAGTGCAGATTGCCTTTCTTCCCACAAAGATTTGTCCTCCTCTGATTTGCTTAGCTGCAACAAAAACACAATCTTGTACCACACGTTCACAGAAATGTTGGTTTTCTTCTAGCTGTGGCGCCAACTGTGCATTTTAATTTAAAGCTAAATACTAACATAGGGGAAACAATTCAATTATAGGTGAAACAATTATTTAAAAATACAAAGACTGTTCTATATACATGCACAGTCTAATTACTGTCTACAGCCATTACATTCACCACCTGGTAAATATATTCATATTACTTGAACCTGGATACATTTAGTCATTTTACAACCAAAAACTTTGATTTATTTTACTTGGATTTTATGTGATGGATTGACGCAAAGTAATGAAGTTGCATGAAATATAAATACTTCTCTGGTTATTCCTAATAAGGAATAACCAGAGAAGTAGCTCAGAGGTCCATGGTAACGCTGGAGGAGCTGCAGAGATCCACGAAGAATCAGTCAACAGAAAAAAATCATAAGAAAACCTGTGAGCATTTTTCCACAAGTCATGCAGAAGAACAAACATTGGAAAAAGGTCGTCTGGCCAAAAGTGACCAAAGTTAAACTATTTGTGATGGAAGGTTACACCGCATATCTCCCTGACCACACCATCCTCACAATGAAATAAGAGTGTGGAAGTATCATGCTACCGTTTACCAGTCAGACTTGATTGCAAGACGGATGTAACACGGGGAAATCCCACATAATCTGCTAGAGCCTGCTACAGACTTGAGAATAAAGCAGAGCTTCAGCAGGACAAAGAAACTAAACATACAGCTGGAGCAACAGTGAAATGGCTTCAAATAAACATGTTACAATAGTCCAGACAAAGTTTATCCTAACAAATGAAAATCTGTAGTAAGACTTGAAAACCAATGTTCACAGGTACTCTTCATAAAATCTCATTGACAATGAACTATTTTGCAAAACTGACAATAACAGTGGTATAAGTAAAGCTAGGAGGAGCACAATATCAAAAATATGCAGCTTTAATTGCAGCAAAATGTGCTTCTACAAAGTATTGACTTATTGATGAATCCTGGACTTATTTTTCAAGGAAACGTTAGAAATCATGAACCGTTGTCCTTCCACTTCACAACTATGTTCTTCTTTGTGCTGGTCCATCACATAAAACCCGAATGACGTATCCTGAAGTTTGTGGTTGCCACAGAATTTACAATGTTTCAGAGTGTGACTACTTTTGCATGGGATTGCAGTTTTTCTAATATTTGTCATGTGTATAATTTTAAACAAGATATGTAATTTTTTTTTCTCATCCTACCTTTTCCTTCAGTTGATGTATTTCATCTGTAGCAACGCTGTGCTTCAGTTGCAGCTATTGGATATGATTAAAATTAGATAGTTTGTTCCATCTAATAAATCAGATACTGTATCAGCAAGAAGAAGTTTAAACATTTATGAACAGAGAAGAGATTTGGTGTACCTCTTTGAACTTGAAGGCCATCTGAGAGCTGTTCATGTCCGTCGGCATGAACAAGGCCTCTGAGTCCGGCAGCTCCAACACCTCCACGTTTCTCCCTGGAGAGAAATTGGACCCAAGGATTCTTTCTTCTATGACGTCGTCGTCCTCGTCCTCATACCTCTCCTCCTGAAAGATATCGCTCACTGTGAGCTCAAACACACCTTGATGATCTCATACACATTGAACATTGGTACAGCAATACTCCCAGGGTTTACCCCTTGCCTGGAGGAAACAACATTGGATTAGTCCACAGGAGTCACTTCAGGGGCTTGGCTAAGCATGTTCATGGCAATAAAGGCAAACATGAGCAACCCACTCAATAGATAAGACTATGACCACACTCTTTGCACAGCCACACACCTTTGTAAGTTTGTCTTTCTCTGCTCTAAAAAAGCCCATTTAATCTCTGGATAGTCTCAATGTTGCAAAATTAGGCTCCTGTGGTGGCTTGAACTTCAGAAAACAAACATTTCCCAACTCTGATGGACAGATGGCAGCTGAATGAACATTTTCCAACAGCAGAGTTGTGACACATGGCTTACTCATAGGCAGCTGCTAATTTCCTGGATGATCCAGGGGGGGATTGGTGTGGTAGCGGTAAAATGGCTAATGCTGCGCAAATGTCATAACTGCATTATTATGATTACAGGATTTACTGTTGTAAACATTTTGGGGGTTTTTTCATACAAAGCACTAAACGATCAGCTTAAGGGTCACTGTGAAGCTGACTTACCTCCTCTGTAGAGTGGTCGTAAGGGTCATCCAGGTGTTGCTGCTGGTTCCTCTCCTGCTCCAGTGTCTCACTAATGAGGCGGGCCACCTCGCTCTGAGTTCCCGGCTTCTCTCGACCAATCAGAAACCTGTTTTTTTTTTTGTTTTTTTTTTTATAGGAACAAGCATACTATACAATGTAGTATTGTACATGTTGCTTTGGATACCCTACTACACAACTTTTTGTGTCTTTGACACTAAAGTATGCAAACTAGAAATGTGTTTTTGAACTCACTTTGTAATGCAGGGGAGCTAAATTTGCCTATAAATCATTACCATAATACAACTGAACCTTGGCCTCCCGTCTAAACTCTCACGAAAGAAAAGTTTCTCAACCAGCTTATTTAATTATAGTGGGATAACAGCAACACAGTTTGGCAGCCAGCTGGATATTTAGATTGAGGTTGTTCTGAGGGCAGAGGAGTTAAACTGACCTCACTGTGCCTTTGGTGTTCTTCAGGACAGTTGCAGCAAACAGCTGGGTGACTCCCACCAGGCTGGTCCCATCCACCTCTACTATCTGGTCATTCACCTGTATCCTACAGCAAGAGGAAGTTAAATCTGTGAGGAGGACTTTAAAGCACGTCGCTTTTACTTTCTTTTGAGACAGCTTCTAATAATGGGATTGTTTCTTTTCCATGTCTCTTACGTTAAACATGGAAACGTTTTTCACCGTGTTATAATTCAGATAATAGAAAAAAAAAAAGGGAAGAACGTATTGTGACGGGTCTAACTACCGCAGAATTGACTTACCGTCCATCTTTCTCAGTTGCTCCATTCTCAGTTACAGTTTTCACAAAAATACCGAGTTTCTCCAAACCCTGGTCAGCTCCCACTCCCATTCCTATGATACTGATCCCAAGCCCATTGTCTCCTGCTGGCAAACAAAAATATTGATGTAAAAGGACAGACAGGAAGAACGGACAAATAAGCTGAATTACACAGTTTTATTAAAAATTGAAAATGCCTAACATTTGGCTTAAGGTAAAAATAAACCTGATGTTTTAACTCTTGGTGAGTAAAGCATGCTAAAAATTACATAAATAAATTACATAAATTATATGGAGGGATGAAGACTTAATGATGGATGTTTGTGTTTAAAACAGAGTCACAGAAAAGAGAGATAAGAAGCTAATAAAAAGGAAAACATTTTTTCCTGTCATGTGGAGATACGTTTGTGGTTAATTCATGCTGCAAATCACTGACGTAGCTTATTGTTTCCTTTTGGCTTTTCAACCTCTCCGTTATGGGACATTTAAAAAATACTGGGAGGCTTTAATTGAGGTTCAAAGTTACTGGTGTTTTAGTAATGTTATCCAAACAGTTGGTACCAGATGCTAAGGTCTGCTTAAACTCTATTAATTGTACGGTCTTGTTTTTAAAATACTTGTAAATCCATGTTCTACCGTAGCTGCTCTCCTCTGCGGTGAGTGACGTTGCCATAGGTGGAAGGTTGGAGAACCATCTGAATGTCACTTTCCTTACACGTTCCTCTTGAATTAACTTGCTTAATACACTAAAAACTTCCTTTTGTGACTCACCCTTTTGAATTTCCACAGGAAACACGTCCATTTTTTCCACTCTCTTTTCCAGCTCATATTCTGCAGATGCTGCAATAGGGTCCACATCATCATTGCGCCGATCGTAATCCTCATTGGAGAAGGTGCTGAAGACCTGGGCAAAATATTAAAATAGGTTATTTGGATGGCTTCAATTTTTAAGCATTCCTTTTTCAGTGAAGCAAGGAGGATGCATTGTTTTTTTTTGTTGTTGTTTTTTGCTTTTCTTAAGAATGGTGTGATTACACTCACAATTTAAGCTCTTATAGAAAAATGAGCTACTTTGCTTTAATGCTGATAGATGGATAATGATTTTGGATCACCAACACTGAAATCCCCTCTCTTTTTTTTTTTATATATATATATATAGATGCCTAATTTTTATTCATCTGTCTGTTGAGACCGCCGCTTCACATATTTGGCAGATGTAATGACACTAAAGCATGAAAAGAATTCCCTAACGATATGCTGCAGAGATGTCAGGAGTTGTGAAATTTGCAGGCGGGTTTCTCAAAGCGCTGGATGCATCTCAGAAAGACTTTTCTGGTTGCAATTACAAAGAACAGACATGCAGTAGTGATGATCATGAGGTACTGCGGAAAGTGGGACACAGCTGTGGAGAGGTAATCAAGCAAAGATATATGACAAATATTCCTCTCAGTGAAAATAAACTGGATATATGTAAAAGAAAAAATATACATTTTGATGATAATTAGATTCCTAAAGATTGTTTATTATAAACAAAACATTTATCCAAGTCACAATGATTGACATAAGACCAAGCTGTTCCTGCATTCAAAGTCTCAGAAGTCTGTCTGCTAAGTATGCTCTCATCACAGCCCCAATCCTGCAGGATCACACTGTTTCTGCGCATGTTCTATGCCCTTGGAGGGCCACGGGGTTTGCAAAGGGAAAAACACAGTCTTTAACATAAACATATTTGGCATTGTTGATTTTTCAGAGTGCTACAGAAGCCATAGCTTACACATATAATCCTGTTGCTGTTTAAGATTCATTCCTGAGAAACCCAACAGGAAAGGAGCTAAATAATTTATCTAATCCTTCCTGGACTTCAGACCACAATGAAAACGCAAACAATTGCGAAATGGCCTTCAAACAAAAGAACAATCACAAGCATGTTTCCAGGTTCACAAAGGCCTGGTTTCAGAAGATGTCCTGGAACCAACTAGAGTGGCCATCACAGTCATCCAAAATCTCTGGTAGGATTTGAAAAACACACATGCAGCACTCAGGCGGGATGCTGGCATCTGACCGATTAATCATGTTTGCAACAGGTCATGAAAGCAAAGGGATTGTACTAAGTACTGAAGATGCTCGTCATGGAGGATTTGAGTTATTTTAGGAAAGCAATGCTTTAAAATGTCAGCTTGTGTTTAATTTGAGCATATTACTAATCAAATTAGTTGCTATAAGTCATTTAAAAATTATCCTTGTTTGAGATGCTTCTTGCAAACATCTGTTAGTTTGGATACACTGCCAAAAGACCTGATTTCTGATGATGGATTAAGCAAATTTAGCTACTAATGTATGAAATAAAATACAAAAATTAATGTGGACAACAAATATACACCATTATACAATAATGGTTTGGAACTATCCAAGTTATTCATCGATAGCTAGAAATAACTATAAAATGAATGTAGGAATAAACAATGTGATCCAGTAGAGCAAGCAAGTTGAAGCGCATAAGTATTGACGGTTAAACCTTATTGTCCTTATAATCTACTTTACCTATAGAAAATAACGTGTTTTTTTTATTTCCATTGTTGATTATAATAAATAAAGAAAAGGTATAAAACCACCAGATTAGAATTTCTAAAAAAAAAAATAATTTAGTTTAATTTGTGCCAATTAAAAATAGCGTCACACTTCTGTTCAATAAATTATAGAGGAATTATCTAATGACCAAAAATGCCACAAAAAAACACAACAAAAAAAACAGAAACCCATTCAGCATGTTGCAGTTGAACTTTGGAGTGTAAAAAACATTTTTTTTATTAGAAACAAGACAGGAGTTAATTAAATCCTGAACAGAGCCTGTGAACTGTTGATGAGAAAGTAGATTAGCTTAGCAGACTCCATGAGGAGCTTATGCCTCATTATAAGGATGAACCAACAAAGGACCGTCAACAAAACCTTTCTGTTTAGATCATTGCTATTACTTATCTGGGTGAAGTCATGATGATTCTGTCACAAAAACATCGCAAGCATGTTGATAATTTGACTGCAATATTTGTACAGGAGAATGACAGTTCTCAGTAAACAGACGACTTAAAAACAAACGGAGCAGCTTAATCTTTTGAATTTTAGAGTTAATTTTAAAATCTAAATGATCTGAAAGTAGATAAAGTATAGAAATGTTCATACTGACTTAACCTGCTTATGTTTTAGTTCTTAAGATGTTACGCAATAGATTTGCTCAGAGAACGCAACTGTAAACTAGAAATGTTTCCTAACAAAGAGATCAGATTTCCATAACGCAGATTTAGTTTTCAAATACATGCAGGTTACATTTGTTTGGATTAGATTAGCAACACCCAAATGTGCACACAAAAACATTACATTGTAGAATAAACCGCTAATTATCTTCAGCATCTGGTTGACGACTGACACCCCGAGGAGCAGAGCCCAGGGATCTTTTCTGAACCGGTTCGTAATCTGTTCTGTCTTAATGGACTTTTTCACGTGTTTCAAAGGTGACACTGGTTTGGATTCATTGAGAAGATGCACAGCGCTGAATTGAAATGAACGGAGGGCCCCAATAATACCTGCTGGCTTTGTACAAAAAAATCTGAACTAGTGGGATCTTCTAACAATGTTCTTGTTCTTTGCTTTGATTTAAAAAAAAAAAAAAAAAAACATTCAAAAATCAACATTTAATTAATCAGTCAATGTAACTCGTGTCTTTTTTTCCTTGCTAATGCAAATAAACTTTCTAATATGTTCTACAAAAAAACGTTTTTGCCTCTTCACAAATTTCTTCTGTTTTTTGAGTTGTCATTGTTAAATTCCTCAGATAAAAGAAATTTGAATATCTAAGATAGACTTAAATACAAATCATTTTTAGGATGTCATTATTAGATTATGATGATGGAATAAAAACAGCTGAGGAATCTGCCACAAACTTAAAAACTACTTTACTGTGGGAAAAAAGGCTGCAGCAGTTAAGAAATTAACGAACAAAAAACAATCGTCCTTCAGTCTCCCTACTATGTAGACATTGGATGCAGCCCAAAGCAGTGCAGACAGTAAATTTCCAGAATAACTCACCAAGCGCTATATTTTAATTGGCAAAGAAAGTCACTGTAACAATTTTATACTGAATAGTAGACACAGGCTTGAAGACATAAATGTTCGTTTACAACACTGCATGTGCTGGATGATTTTTGCACTTATTTCAAAAGATTAAAACGTACACACCAGCCCCCAGTCTGTAATGTAGGCTGATTCCATTTGTTGGATTCCATGTTTAGCTGAGATTTCACAAGCAAATTTATAGCATTGATTTTTAATTGGTTTAAAAGCAACAGACAAAGAGCAGAACAAATTTGTTTCATCTGATTTTCACTGTATTTAAGTTATTTACGTTGACCTTCGAAACTTAAAGGCAACTCTGATGACAAAAGTTGTAAATTTTCACATTAACATCCTAAGAATTAGATCAGGCAGAAATATAAGATTTAGTTTAGACTTTGTAATTAAGAGCTGAAAATGTAAAAGATTATAATGCTGATAACACCAGTGCATCTAGTCATTAGCGTTAGCTTGTAGCATCTTGACTTTCACCCCTCATCTTCTCTTGATTAGTTAGCTCTGGCTTTCCTGCTGCCATAAAATCCTAAAACTTCTTTTTGAAAAAGAAAAAAAAAAGTTCTTTGTTGAAACCTGATCACACAATCACATCCTTGTTGGTAAGAAAGACAGAAAAATCAATCACAAGTTCACTATCTTTTTCCAGCAAAAAATGTCCTTAAACAAAGGTCAGTGTCCCCTCTGATCACTCTAGCCAAATTTTCCAATCTCCAGTTCAGAACATGCACAGTCTGGATCAAATTAAAACCACCCAATATGTCTTTTTCTGCAGAGAAAACAAACACCATATTTAAAAGCCAACTGTTTCCATTGGAACCACTGATCATACCGAACAGCATCATTTACATTCTAAACGAAACCTTTACACGAGGCTTTTAATAAGTTACTTGCTGATGGTTTCAGCCTTTTTTATATGTCATGTTCTACAGTCTTAATAGCCTGTGCCGACTCTGTTATGTTTTAACGCACAGACACGTCCATGCACACACCCAAAATTAAACGTTTTCCATCTTTCCTCCAATTACCCCTCATACTACAGAACACCAGAATGGGAAATGAGTCAGCAGCTGTGAGGAAAGGCAAACCAGAGAAAACTTATTGCCAGTGCAAAAAAGAAAACAAAGGCTGTCCACTGGATTGGGGAGCATGTAATGTAAACTGAACCACCAAAAGACAACAAATTAAAACCTGCTGTGAGGGTAAGCTGGAGCAGGAGTGGCAGCCAGGAGGGATCACAGCATAGTCAGGGGGAAAAAAAAGGAACTGGAGCCTGGTTGAGATCCTGGATAAACACCAGGAAAAGGAGCATATTATATCTCTAGTACTTCCTGTGCACATGCCTCTAAAATGATAAACACTTGACTGAGTTCACAATGATTTACTGACGAAGTCGGAGATTGTTTCAGGAAGCAGGTATACAAACAAAAGATAATTGTGAAAGGCTTTCCATTTGCGTGTGAACTTTGTTTTTAGAAACAGAAAGACTTCTTTTGCAACAACTAAGACTCTGCTGCACTTCAATTTGATCCATGGAGCCCATTCAACATGATTGCAAGTGAATCTAAATATAAATAAACTGTGCGAGGAAATCCCAGGCATCTCAAATGACCAAATTGTTAGTGAAGACATTGTTGTTGGTTCTGAATAATGCCGTGGTTGACAGGTGCAAACGCGTAGCAAATGACGAAACATATAGGTGAAACACGCTACAAACTTAAAAAAAAAAAAAAATAAATAAATAATAATAATAATAAAAAGAATTGCAACAGAAACACACTACAA